ACAGATTATATTAATATAATAGATGAAATGGAGAATATAGAACAAGTACTAATAACTGATAATAGATGTAAAAAAAATGTTATTTTATTTTAGAATTAATTCAGTTTTTGATACAATATATTAAAAATATAAATATTAATATAAATGGGAAAAAAGAAAAAGAGTAAAAGCAAAGAAAGACCAATACCAGATATTGAAGCACGGAAAGAAACAGCAGAAAGTGTTAAATCACTAGGCGAAAGTAAGACTATAAAATGTGATAAATGTAATCACATAATGAATTTTAAAAATGAATTGACAGTAGATAAGAAAGGCGGAGTTAAAGTTAGTTGTGTCCCATGTATGTTTTCTTATAAAAAAACAGATAAAGATTTTAATATTCAGAAAAGAACAGATGGTGATATGGTTATTGAAACTAACGAACATTTGATTAATGTTAGTTTTAACAGGGACATAAGTTAGTATTTAAAGAGTAGATTTAACATAATTGCACTTTATAAATATATAATTAAATAAATAATTATCTAAATAAATATATAGTAATGTCTGAAAATGAAAATTATACTATTAATGATTTAATGAAGAAGATAACATTAATTGGTAAAAATATCAAAACCTTAAATGATATGATTAAATCCATTGATGACAAAATGAAACCAGTTGAACGCGAACAACAAAGCAACGAAGAGAAGGAGAAGATGAATAAGATTTTTGAAAAGAAAGGGATAGGCAGACCTAGCGGTGATTATGATACCAAGCGTAAAAAATACTGCGATATGTTAAATAAGGGACAAATCAAAAGTCCAAAAGAACAAACATTAGAATATTATAAACTAATTAAGGGCGATGATGATAAATATGTAATGGTTGGAAATTAAAATCTAGATATTTCTAATAATATGAATTTATTAGAATTATTTAGCAACAAGACCTATATAAAATACCTAGTAGTTTGATATTGGAAACTGTGATGAGTTTGACAGAAATCGGGGCATGATTTTGATAGAATCGGGGAATGATTTTGATTATAACCATGCTATGATTATAACATGTAAAATATTATATGTTATAAGTATATTCCAATATTTAATTTTATTTCTTGTAAAAAAGTATTTAAAGAAATAAACACTATATATATATTATAATAGAAATGGAGTTTCAAAAACTACCAGTTGAAGTTATTAATAATATTATGTCCTATAAATATGGCAAGCCAGAATATATGAAAATAAAGCATAATCATAATGAAACATTGAAGAGAATACAAAGAAGATATAAAATTGACAAAACTGACATAGAAAGGGAAACAAAGCACTGTAATAATTTAGATGGTGATAAAGTAAAGAGACAAATATGTCAATATTATGTTTCTAGGAAGGTTCCATTAAGCATTGAAAGTATTGAAGATATAGTTATGAAAGAAGGGGATGAAATAGATAGCTTACTAGATAAGTATGTAGGATATGAAAGTTATAAAGCAATAATAATAGTTGATATAATCCGCCGACATTGCTCGGCGTGTCGGATACTTACTAGAGGATAGAGGATAACCCCCCCCCTAACCCCCCCCGCCCGACGTCTATTACGTAGGTTTTTGTGGGGGGGGGGAGAGGGGGGTCCCCCACGTACCGCGCGGCAATTTGATGACGTTCCACTAAACGTAGTCTTCGGGGAGCCGGTGTCGCAAAACAGGGGTCCCAGGCTCGATTCCCCCTGCCGGCTTTTTGCTGGCTTGGGCTTCCTGCATCCTTTTGCCGAAAATCTGGAAAAACTCAATGTTTTTGGACGTCCTCTTTGCGAAAACGCTGGAAAAACCGTGTTTTTTTTGCGGGAAATACTGGGGAGCAAAGGGGAAGTGCAAGGATACATACATACATACATACATACATACATACATACATACATACATACATACATTACATACATACATACATACATACATACATACATACATACATACATACAATTACATACATTACATACATTACATACATTACATACATTACATACATACATACATACATACATACATACATACATACATACATACATACATTACATACATACATTACATTACATTACATTACATTACATTACATTACATTACATTACATTACATTTACATTACATTACATTACATTACATTACATTACATTACATTACATGACATGACATTACATTACATTACATTACATTACATTACATTACATACATACATACATACATACATACATACATACATACATACATACATACATACATACATACATACATACATACATACATACATACATACATACATACATACATACATACATACATACATACATACATACATACATACATACATACATACATACATACATACATACATACATACATACATACATACATACATACATACATACATACATACATACATACATACATACATACATACATACATACATACATACATACATACATACATACATACATACATACATTACATACATACCATACATACATACATACATACATACATACATACATACATACATACATACATACATACATACATACATACATACATACATACATACATACATACATACATACATACATACATACATACATTACATACATACATACATACATACATACATACATACATACATACATACATACATACATACATACATACATACATACATACATACATACATACATACATACATACATACATACATACATACATACATACACATTTACATTACATTATACATTACATTACATACATACATACATACATACATACATACATACATACATACATACATACATACATACATACATACATTACATACATACATACATACATTACATACATACATACATACATACATACATACATACATACATACATACATACATACATACATACATACACACATACATACATACATACGTACATACATACATACATACATACATACATACATACATACATACATACATACATACATACATACATACATACATACATACATACATACATACATTACATTACATACATACATACATACATACATACATACATACATACATACATACATACATACATACATACATACATACATTACATACATACATACATACATACATACATACATAGCATACATACATACATACATACATACATACATACATACATACATACATACATACATACATACATACATTACATACATAACATTACATACATACATACATACATACATACATACATACATACATACATACATACATACATACATACATACATACATTACATTACATTACATTACATTACATTACATTACATTACCATACATACATACATACATACATACATACATACATACATACATACATACATACATACATACATACATACATACATATACATACATAATACATACATACATACATACATACATACATACATACATACATACATGCATACATACGAGATTGGGGAGAGAGAGGCTTGGGGGGATGGGGAGGATGGGAGCAGAGGGAGGGAGAGAGGACGACAGAACACACAAGGGAGACAAGGAAGAGAGGAAGAAGGAGAAAAGGGAGAGGACAATGTCGGCGGACTGAGCCGGAGGCTCTAAAGTTTTATGTGTAAGGTTTCATCATTTTAATTATTTTGAGGATGATGAATATAGCAGTTATGGTTTTGATTTTCATAGTGGTAGACACTTAATGGGTTCTATAGACCAAGATAATATAACTGATGTAATGGAATACGCAGTTGCAACAATATGTAGAAATATTGATAATGAAAGGAATACAATGAATATTGTAGGAGTAAAACACATAAGGTTTATACTAATTATTGATGAACCTGAATAATATAACCATACTATGATTATAACATTTATACCCTTATATGTTATAATTATAATGTAAGTATAGCGTTTTATATATTGAAGATAAAATCCTACAAGGTGGGCCATGCGCAACTCCGGAATATCAAAATTTGAAAAATGATTAATTATTTGTCTTCTCATTGAATTATTGAAAATGTTGTTTCTTATTGAATAATTCTTCTTAAAATGATATATATATTTATCTCTTTTGAAAAAAATATATTTTCTAAAATATTTTGGAAAATGTGTGTTTTTGAAAATAAACATGTTTAGGTGTATTGAATTTTTCAAAAATAATTCAATTTTTGTTTTGGTATGCAGTACTAAAAAAATATTTATCAAAATGTGTTTAGACTGTTTCAAAAAATGTTTTAAAATGGCTGTTTTGAGGCGCTTATTCAAAAAATGCAAAAAAACCTAGGGTAGACCCTAGACTTTTGAGTCCGAAAAAAGTTGCGCATGGCCCTACCTAACTAAAACTCCTCCCATTGAGTGGACTTAAAGGGAAACCAAAGGAGAATCAAAACCTACTTTTGCATAGAGGAGCCCCTTGTAGCAGGTGCATGTTGTTCTTTAAGGTTCTGAGGAGCCCTGTCAAACGGACCCTTCGGCCGCCCCTGCACGCTATGCCTAGACAGAAAAAAACTGCCTAGGCTGTCCGTAATCCCTAGAAACTTCCCGCCAAAGAGAGAGACAAAGTGAGAGAGAGGGATAGAGAGAGAGAGAGAGAGAGAGAGAGCGAGAGACAGGGAAAACCAAAGACATGTTCAAAATCTTTATATTTGACCTTTTTCTCGGGTCCTGGGTGCCAAATGATGGGTCCCCATTTGCCTGCCTCTCAGAACAACCAAACTGGTTTTGTGGTGATCTAAGCAACTACATAAACAAACCAGGTGCTATATGGCGTGTCTTTGGATTCGGACCTTCCTGTTGGTCCTTTAAACGCATGGGGCCTCCTTTTGGAATCCTTTTGAAACTGCACCCCAAAACCACTGAGTTGCTAACCTGTTGCTGGTGTTCTTCACAGCCTGATGGGTGCTCTTCACTGCCTGATGACATTTGGGCCCTGGAAAAACAAAAAAGAAACAACTCCGCCAGCATGGCGGCAGCGGCGCGCAGCTGGTCTGCAAGCACCGAGGACCACCGAGAGCTGCCCTGCAAAATCGGGTATTTTCAGCGCTCCCTGTGCGCCGTATTTGCCTTGGCTCAAGGGAAACCGAATCTGTGATTTCGCTATGATATCTGATATTTATGTTGTTTTTGTAAGGGTACTGCACCCCTTGGGGTTGGCTTAAAAGCAAAAATGGAAGAAAAAAAACATTCTTTGGGTGTCCACATCCTCTTTTGACACATACCAACATGAGAATGAGTTTGACTCAGGGACCCCGCCCGGAGATCATTTGGGGAATTCATGTCCAACCACTTTTGAGGTAGTCCCTATCTTAAAAAATGGCGGCTGTCCTTTTGGTCCCCTTTCAAACCATCCAAAAAGGGCACCCCTCAAAACGGCAGATTTCGAGTTTCCTTCAAGTGGGTGATGTGTGAGGAGGAAATGTCCAAGTTCACCAAGCTCACCAGACTGAACACTGACAAGAGCTTTGCATGCGACTCATGCGTCAAATACCTTGCTCGGTGTGAAGAATGAACAGCACAAAAGTGCATACTCTGCTAGTGTGTCTGCAATTTCAGGCGCAGCATGCCCTTGAAACATTCCAATGTTCTGCCGCGGCTCAATTGTCACGGTCAATGTCGCGCCTTTCTCACGAGCGACTCGAAAGAAGACGTCACTCTCAAGTAGTCCCGTGATGTGCCTTGGGAAAAGACGTGTAACATTTGTAACCAAGTTGCAATAAGCGCTCTGCATGAAAACGAAGAGGACTGCGCCAGCACATCGAAAATTGAAGACTCGCCACGGGTTTGTGCCAAAATAAGGTGTTCCCTTTGGCTGCCTTTTAATTTAAACCAGTTTGAAAAGGGTCCCCTCCAAAAAATATAGTCCCATCAATGATGCCGCAGAAAGTTTGTCCCTGGCGGGCCACAGCTTGGCCCCATGCCAGCAGTGGTCAAACCGGGCAGAAAGGACCTCGCAACATGCGCAAATTCCCCGAATGGGGTGGCGTTGGAAAAAGGCTGGTTTGCATCCACTGCAATCAGCACATCCGGTTTAAATTGAGCCAATTGAGCCAACTGCCGAACAAACTCGCCAGAAACTGCAAAACAAATCGGAACTGACTCTACGGGGCGGTGAGTTGCTGATGGACTCGGTTGTTCTGGCAGGCCCCATCTTGAACATGAGGGACGCTGCTGGTATTTTTGCCTACGTGGGCGTTGGGCAACATACTTGGAAGCAACGGGAAATCTGAATGGGTTTGGTAGGGCTGGTTTGGGGGACTCAAACCAAACGGCCGACTCCAGATTTTGGCGACAAGCAGCGAGCGGTGTCGTTCACAGCTTAAGGGTGCCAAACCTTCAAATGTCAGCCGTTCGAATTCCTGTGACGTGCCCAGTTTGAAACAGGGGCATGGCCGGCCTTAAGTCATTAAGTGCCCGGGCGCCGCCAGATTTTGTTGGTCCCGCAGCGTTTCAAGAACCTCGAGTGCGGCGCCCCTCGCAAACTGAAAGCTCTGCTTGACCAGATGTACTATGCACCCTCCTTCGAATTCGCGGAACCCAACACAAGAGGCCTTTCCAAAGGAGATTCCTCTGATGTTGATCTGCAGCAATGTAAACCCTTTCTGTTAATGGTTCTTTCTGTTCCAAAGGAGATTCTAAGGAAACACACAATGGCAAACGGCAAATCACTTCAAACAGCTAAGCCTGGCAATGACTGCGGGGTTCTAAGAGTCCGGCAGGCGACAAACACAAAACACTCTGTTGGCTGTCCTGCAATGCGAGAAACAACACCAAGCAACGACATAATCAAACACTGGTCGCTAGGGAATCAAACAATTTGCAGCCTGCACCAGCCGTCGTCATCCCAAAATCGGGTTACCGCTCGACCTTGATTGGGGCATGGTGCGCGTGAGTCAGCGCATGCCCAACAATTCACTTGCTCGAGGGTTGCCAATCGAAAACAAAAAGAAATGGTGCTGGGGAATCACTACCCAAATAACGTGGAACCCGCCAAAAAAATCAAGCACCCCCAATCAGGTTCCATGCTAGTGGCTACATCAAGCTCGGATTGTTTCCCTGTCCTCAGCGGACAAGACCTTCTGCACGGCAGCTTCCAGCTCCTCCACGCTAAGCGGCATAGGGGCGTGCCTCCAGAGCTCGCGCAGGAAATCGTCCGATCTTTTCCACCAAAAACGTGTCATGGGTTTGAAATTGGGTGGCTTCCCTTTGGTCACCGTCCACGACTGCCAAAAGCGACCTTTAAAAAAAAAAAACGCGTCCAGGTGAAATTAATGGCACAACTCAAAATGTGGGAATAGTGCCATTCAGTCTCACCCAACTGCAAGTTATTGAGTGGGGATGCCTTGACCCACAAAAAAGGATTATCTCAGTCCAAATTTGGTGAACCGCATTTCAAGTGTTTCACATTGTGAATTCCGAATTCCCATCGACAAAATTGTACAATTCTATCAACTAGTTCAAACACAAACACACACACACACACACACACACCCACCCACCCACCCACCCACGCACGCACGCACCGCGCACGCCCGCACGCCCGCACGCACACACACGCACAATATCATATGTGCTGACCTCCACGCATAACCCGCGTGTTCATCCCACGTTTTCATCGTCCAGTGACCACACACACACACACTACGCGCACACATACACACATGGCGAAAACACTGGCTATACCTGTGTTTGGATTATCGCATTTTAGAACCATTGCAAATTGAGCACTGCAACATGTTCCCTTTCACAACCACTACAAACAGTTTTGGCGACACATTCAGCGGCGATGCCAGCCTGCCGCAAAAGCTGGCAGAGGGAAACACGCCCCGGGCACTGTAAAGCCGCTGTATTTTGAATGTGGGTTTGTGTGTGAATGCTGAAGGCACCCCTGCCAGACCTCGACAACCCCCTGATGAGTTTGCCACATGGCAAGCCACACAAACATTGCGTTGTTGTGTGTGTGAATCGAGTTTTTGCCAAGGCTGAAGCGCTTGATCTAGGAAACACATCAACGAGGTGGGTACATTCAATGTTCACATGATTGAAAAGATGTCGTGTACTCGGTTGCGTGTTTTTTTTCCCCTTCATTGTGGCATTGGATTTGCGCTCGTGCAAACCCATCACAGCAGCGGAGGCACATATGCATCAAGCTGGAAAAATATCAAGACCTTTGAATGCAAATAAAGATCAAACTTGCAGCATGCAATGGCCGTGACGCACCAGCGAAAACAACAAGACACGAGTATCTCCTGCAATTGCGGCTGGCAACAACTTTAGTTTGGGCGACACAATGTAGCCGCGAACATTTTTGTTGAATCGATGTGTTTATACAATGTTTGGCAAACAAGTGGATCTTGACGTCACATTAAGCTGAACAAAGGTTTGCGCAATTTTGGCCTGCCCTGCCCCCCCCCCCCCCGGGCAGGGCGCCGGCGAGTCTTGCATCTCAGGATGACTCGATGCGGCACCGTTTTTTTAACCCACATTCAACCACCAACAAAGATGCTGCTCGCCATCAAATGTTGGTACTTCCTCTTCCCTGTACTGATGGCACGGAAGTTCGGGCCGACATTTCCTCGGAAAGCCTGCGCCACTTTGGAGCAAGGTTGTGGGTTTCGCTTGTGGCAGGCTCTCCGCTTTGTGGAAAAGCTGCATTGCCCTGTCCAACTCGGGGAAGAGTGCATCGGAAAGGAAATTCAACTTGTGTTCAGAGTTGCCACCCCCAAGTTCCATGCGGGAATGCGCCTGTCAGCCGCCCTGCAATACATTTCGCAGCCAGCAATGTGCCAGCAATTTGCACAGGCCGTCAGCTCACACGGCCTTTGCATGCATTCTCCTCTGCATTCCTCTGCTTTTCACAAGCAAAACTAAATCGCGCAATCTTGCAACACTGGTGGCCTGCAAGCTTTGGAAACTCCAAAAATTGTTTGCCTGGGAGCCTTGTTGATTCTTCCCCTGCCCAGTGACCGTTGCAAACATGCGTGTTTTTTTTTCGTTTTAAGGACTCAAGAAGAAACAAGCTGGGATCCAAAGGGTGCCACTGAAAACTGGTTTGCTCGCTTTTGGAGCCGGCAAAGTTTGAGCCACCGGTGTGTGACATGGCCGGCTCACCTTGAAGCGCCTCAGATTCTGAGGAGAGCGGCCCTTGGGGTGTGCACGGGTCTGCCGAACCAAGTAACCCCGCCAAATGGCTCGTTTCCTTTCAACACCCCTTTAGACAAAGGAGATTCCCCTCCCAAACAATACATATAGATATGTTTAAGAAAACCAACCAAAGTTGGAAGGTCCGAACTTTTGCGCAACGAGAGGGGGGGGAGGTCCCCCGATTCCAATTATCTAGCCTCCCCTGAGGAAGAATAGAACCAAAACCCCCGTGCCGCAATTCCAGTTGAAGGGACTAAGTATTTGCGCGCAGCTCTTCTAGCAGCTGCCATGCAAGTCCCTGTACTCCGTCTTGGGATCCGGCATCCTTGGGCACTTCAACATCCAGTGCGTTGCCCCCACCTCAGTACAAAAAACCCAAGCCTCCCTCACCTCTGGGCAATGCTCCTGCACCCACTGACTGAAGCCAGTCAAAACCACAGGCTGGCAGCCGACAACAGCTGACAAAACCACAGCGCCTCCGCAGCGTCTTCAAACGACTGCCTGCTGTCGCTTGAATTTGCACCAACGCCTACTGGCATACAGCTCTGCATGGAGTGTGCTTGCCCTGTTGACAGGGTCGCACTCCGGGTTCCAAATCCCGGTCTCCATGCTTGTGCGGCAAATGACACGCGGCACGCCTTATCGCGCCTGAAAGGGTGCACAACCCCGGGTGAAACGAGTGCTGACATTTGCTTTGCATTTGGGTGGCTGGCCGACCCCAGCGTTGAATTCTACGTTGTACAGGGGCTTTCCGCCCTCAGTCGTGCCTAAAGGAGGACTGTTCATCCCCCCCTTCCAATGGTTGTGAATCTTTACAGATTCAGGAA